AAATTGAATCAATAAATGCTCGAGATTCGGAACAATGCCCAGATTCGGATCCATCATTTGAATCGAATCGAATTGAATCAATACAGGGTGCGGCATAAGTATGGTTACAAGGTTGTAACGTTGATTTAAGAAACTGATTGATTTTTATTTCTTGCCAAAGGATTATTTTTTCTTAATTTGAATGCTTTTTTATATTATGTAGCAGTTTTTAAGCAAATTTTTAAATTTGGACATAATGGTGAAGGCTTCTCCCAACCGTGCCGCTATTCTTCAGCTTGGAGCACAAGGACGCTCGACACAAGAACGTAAATGTTCGAGATTCGGAAAAACGCCCAGATCAGATCCATCATTTGAATCGAATTGAATCAATAAATGCTCGAGATTCAGAACAATGCCCAGATTCGAATCCATCATTTAAATCGAATTGAATCAATAAATGTCCGAGATTTAGAACAATGCCCAGATCAGATCCATCATTTAAATCGAATTGAATCAATAAATGTCCGAGATTCGGAACAATGCCCAGATTCGAATCCATCATTTGAATCGAATTGATAAATGTCACAAAAAGCTGGATAGGTACTTTAGTGATGAAAGAACTTTTGATAACCAGAATTAATCGAGTTCATGATTTAAAAGAAATTTCAAGCATCACAAGAAAAACTAATCTAATCTAATCAAGAAATCTAGAAAACCTTTGAGTCTTTCTTTCTAAGCACAGATTATGCGCTATGGGAAAGCTACCGTACTTTACCGTAGATAGCTTTACCTACCGTACTCTACGTTAGTCCAGTAATTCAGTTCTCTTTGCTTTACTTACTTCAGAGCTTTGATGAAATGGGATTTTCTGTGAGATCAGAGAATTAGAATTAGAATTAGATATAGAATTAGATATAGAATTAGATATAGAATTAGAATTAGGGATCAATTTCAGAGACTCACCCTTTTAAAGTTAAAGAAAAACCTCAACCTCAAGCTTGGCTCGAAATTTGACTTCCTTTTGGTGGAGGTTAGCTGTAAAGTCACTCATCTTTTTGTCCCATTTCCATTGTGTAATCCACTATATTTTACGAGCTGTATGCCTCTTTCATTTTGTCAAAAGAGTTCATAAAAAGCCTTTACTCAAGGGGTTTTTGTCGAGACAACATCCGCGAAAAAAAAATGAGTGATTGATTGGGTAAACGAAAAGAAATTGATGGTTATTACTGACCAATACTTTACTTAAAACAAGGCTAACTCTATCATTTCTATCAGTAATCATTTCTAAACAAAATCAGAACAAAGAGCTTTTAAAATAACTAAAGATTTCTCCATGTTTCTGGAGGAGTATTTCTAATTCAGTAATTCTAAATTTATGACCAAAATTCAACGATAAAGATAAAGAAATGAATTGTAGATAAACCTGGGCTCAACAAGGCTTGGAGAAATGAATTTTAGATTAATCTGGACTCAACAAGGCTCAACAAAGCCCAGATTTATTTGCAGGCTAACAACAAAGCCAATCAACAAAGATCAATGATTGCTAAAGTCTTGGAAAGTCTTGAAATTTGTGCTCACTTTGACAATTGACAATCCAAAGCATAATCAATCTTGGCTACATCCTATAATCCATTGCGAAACTTTAGTAAACTAAAATTGTATCCAAATATCAATGTTTGACTTTTCGAAATCGACTCATCTCCACAAAAATTGTCACAAGATTTGTCACAAAGAGGAGAGAAAACTCTCCATGGTCATCAAAACCAACATTATAACAAAATTATAACATTACAACTACAATTCAACCTACAATCCAACCTACCATTCAATCTACAATTAATTTCTTTATCTTTATCGTTGAAATTTGACCATAAATTTAGAATTGCTGAATTAGAAGAACTCCTCCAGAAACATCGAGAAAACTTTAGTTCTTTTAAAAGCTATTTGTTCTGACTTTGTTCTGATTTTGTTCTGATATTGTTTAGAAATGATTACCGATAGAAATGATAGAGTTATTAGCCTTATTTTAAGTAAAGTAAAGTCAGTAACAAGCATCAATTTCTTTTCGTTTACCCAATCAATCACTCATTTTTTTCGCGGATGTTGTCTCGACAAAAACCCCTTGAGTAAAGCTAATATTATCCAATTTCTATTCCAAAAGTTGTTTTTCTAGGTAATTTGAGGGCGTAGAATCGAAATTTTGACATATCAGAGCGTGTGGAACCAATTTGAAAGACAAAACGGCTAGATCAAATTACAGAAAATTGTCGATTTTTCTCTTTGTATAACTCCGTCCGTTTGTTTCCACAAGCTCTGATATGTCAAAATTTCGATTCTACGCCCTCAAATTACCTAGAAAAACAACTTTTGGAATAGAAATTGGTTAATATTAGCTTTTTTAGCTTTTAGCTTTTTAGAGCTTTTTAAAGCGCGAAAAAAAGGTGCGCTAATGGGCAAGGTGCGGAAAAAAAGGTACGCAAATGTCCGGGTGCGCAAAAAAAGGTCGCATTTGTCCCACTCCCCATGATTTTAAAAGAAAAGGGCTATTCAGTAACAACTTTTGCTTCGAAAAAAGCTTTGATTTTGGGGGGAAAACTTTTAAAAAAAATGATACGTTTTTCCCTCGGCCCCCTTGGCTATAAACCTAAGATAAATGATAAAAACTAAGAAACATTCGATAAAAGTATATGAAATATTATAAGATCTAAAGCTCCAGCTTTTAAAAGGTCAAATGGGGAAAAAGATATTACTTTGGGGGAATGACGATCGGAGCTTTTCATCGCGGCTTTTCAATATGAAACAATACAGGCCGGCACACGGTGAATCATTCTCCCAATCTTCTTCTCTTCTTCTTCCTTCTTCCTTCTTCCTTCTTCCTCAACAGAAAACTGAAAAATATCGGCACAAGAAAATTATAAAAGCAAGGATGAGATCTTTTTGAAAAGACCGCGAATTCCCAAGTGACATCGGGAAATTTGCAATGCAATCGGCAAAATGGTGTCGAGGGGAAAGTTGATGTGTTTGATGTTTGATGGAAATGATTTCTTTCAAAGAAAATTGAGCCTAGAGTGCCTAGTTGTCTTCATCTATCCAATAACCAGGTAAACTAGAGTGTGTTCCTCAAGATTAAGTAATTACTTGAGTAAATTTGCATGAGTAATAGCTCGAGTCAGTGTCGAGTAATGCGTTTTCGAAAAAGTGGGCCCGCGCGAGTAAATTTTTACTCGATTAATCGAAGTTTTTCGCCGACTAACTACGAGCAAAACCTCTTTACACGCCGAGTAAATTGAATATCTTTACATTTGACGAGAATTTCCCCCACCAAATCATTTCAACAATTGAATATCATTAAAAGAAATCATATACCGTATTTGTTCGAATAGAAGACCGGGTAAAGAGTATGATCGCGTACTTCTGCGTAGCAGCCCTTTTTAAAATTTCTTCTCTGCATAAAAGCTTTCAATCAAGTGCTATAGAGCTGAAAAATGGCTCTTGCTGAAAAGCATTTAACGAAGGGGGTTTTTCGTCTACTTAACTTTTCGTCTACTTAACTTATTCACCCTTGCCAGGGCCGAAGCGTTTCCAGATTGGTACGCTGTTCTTTGGATGCTCTTTGAATCCCAGAGTCAGGGTACGAAGCTTGCTGTAAAAATGGCTCTTGCTGAAAAGCCATTTTTCAGCCCTATAGCACTTGATTGAAAGCTTTTATGCAGAAAAGAAATTTTAAAAAGGGCTGCTACGCACGAGTACGCGATGATACTCTTTACCCGGCCTCCTATTCGAAGAAATACGGTATAACTAAACGCTCGTGATTTTTTCGCGTCAATTTTTGGGGTAGGCCGGGTAGGCTAGTTTCCGCAACTTTTTTTGCCCAACAGGGTTATTTGCGCCACTGTGTCGTTTGCGCAACTCACCATAACTTTTTTCTAAGTCATCCAATCTTTATGCTTTTGGTCTCATTTTGTAGATCTCAATAAGTGCAACAAAATGAAACCAAAATCATAAAAATTGGTCAACTTAGAAGGAAGTTATGGTGAGTTGCGCAAAAAAAAATTTCGGAAACTAGTCGACCCCCAATTTTTTGCAATAATTTTCGCCAAAAGTATGGTAATTTTTCGCAAGTGTGCGTTTTAAAAAACGTATTACTTTGCGAGGGAAAACACTCAATAGTAACAATAGTAAATAATCCAATCAAAAGCATTATAGCTGGCTTTTTTTTTCTTTAAATGACTCTTGATAAAAGCTCTTTAAGAAAAACATCAATTTCCAAGTTTTTAGTTTTTTTGTCAATTTATAATGAAAAATTCTGCATGTGAGAAAACTAGATGACGGAAAAATCACACAAAATCAACCTGAGCCTGAGATCAACAAATATTATAGGGTGCGGCAAAGAAAAAAAGAAACCATCCTTTTTTTTCTGAGTCATACTAGATATTTCGAGCAACAAAAAACGCGCCAGTCACGAAAAATATGAAGCGGATGTGGGAATAAAATCTTTAGAGCATTTCCGTTCAAAAATGTTGATAACAAACACCAAAATTGGTATACAGTCGAACCGGGAAAACCGGACTTCGAGAGCGAATGTGAGTGGGAGAAAGATAAGAGAAATTTGCATGAGCCGTGATCCGGCTCCCACAGCGATCGGAAAGAAAACGACGCTCGATGATAGACACCGATGATGAATAATTCACCCATATATTTTTCCAAGACTTTGCCCTTTTCTCTGATCGAAGAAAGAGCTGCAAACAATGAGATTCTTTGGGAATTTTGGATTGACTCCAAGAAAGCTAACTTTAGTCGATCTTCATTAATTGTAGACTCACCTACAAGTCCAGCGACAATGTCCGAATTTTTACTGCTTCACCCATCTTTTGAAGAAATTTATTACCATCCGCAATATAGACAAATTAACAAGGGTTTAATATCAGACAACCGGTATAACAAGTATATGAAGATTTACTAACACTTTTCAAAAAAATTGAGAGATCGATAACTTGGTTAACTACGCGGAAAATATATTACTCTCTTTTGGGTCGTTTCATCATTGGAGCCTCTTCCTCTTCATCATCGTCATCAGCAATTTTGTTTTGGAACAACGTCACCGGTTGGGTCTTTGCGTAAGCTTTTGCGACATAAAGTGGCTCAGCCTCTGCCTGAAATTACTCATTGAAAAATAATCCGAGTTTTTCAAATAGATTTATAATACTACTGACCGCTTCTGCGTGGCGCAAGATACTGGCTCGAACATCATTATCGGCCAAGAAATCCTTGTTTCGCTCTTTTCCCATCTGTTGTGCCAAGAACGAATGAATGGTGCCACCCGTTTTATTAACTGAACGAATATAAAAAATGATGCAAAAACAAAAAGACTTACTCCTTCCACCGGTACTGGGACCACTCAGCGGCATCTCGGCAGGCTTTTTGAACGGTTTTCGGATCTCGTTGTCTTTCATTCGCAAATAACGTCGCAAACGCCATTCGGTGACTTCCTAATGTTATAGGCTAAATTTTTAAAAAATTTCAAAACATTACCTTATCCTCCGGCTCTTCGCCGCGACCTTGGAACATTTCGAGTGCGAGTGCTAAAAAAGTTTTAGTAAATGACATATAACTTCATGTTGGCTTATCGAAGTGAAAACTTACGAGCCAAGATCATCTCCTCCTTAATCACTTCTTCAGCTCTCGAGCGGCGAAGTGGTCGAGTAACACATTGCTTGATACCCATCAATGATGTTTCAGGATCATAGTAAATACGAAGTGTTCCATCTTTAATGACAAATAGATACTTTTAACCCAGCGTTTATACCTGAAAGTGATACCAGCATCTGATTAAGACGCGGATGCCATATACACCGAATCGCACTCTAAATGAAACGATAAGTAAAACTTTATATATTAAAACTAACCACTCCATTTGGGTACTCAATCTTGTAGACGACTTCGAAAGTCTCAGGATCCAGAAACTGCAAAGAGCCAGCTCCACCCTCGGTCGCTGGCGAACAGGTCACATAGATCACCTCACCTCTGGGCGCCCAGCCACAATCAGACCTAAAATAAATTAAATCATTGCGTAAAACTTTGCGCCAAAACTACTCTTTGTATTCGGTGTGCAGTCCAGTTTTCATTTTCAAAGGAGCTTTATTATCGTCAAGGCTCCAAAGTTTTAAGGCTCCATCCAAGCCACGGGTAAGGAGTCTGAAAATGTTTTTGATAGATGCATTCATTTTAATACAAACCTTTTACCGTCATGAGAAAATCGAACACATGTAATTGCACCATTGTGAGCTTTTCGAACCAAGTAAGTAGTGCTAACCTAAAAAACAGTTTAGAGAAATAAAGTATTTAACTCACAATTATTTTTGAGTTTTTCCACACTTGAAGTGAGCCATCTAAAATGATATAATATTATAGCAACACTGACATCAACATAAACAGAAAATCTAACCAACCTCCGCATCCAGCGGCGACAAGTTTTCCATCGAATGACAAAGCACAAGTTTGCGGCTGAGCTCGTTTTCCATTCGCATTCTTTAGTTTAATGATCTAAAGCAACGGTAAACAAGTACTCCTCAAGCTATTACCTTTCTTTGTTTGTTGATTTGCTTCGTAATTTGTTTGAAATCATCTAAGTGCCAAAAACGAATTGTACTAAACAAGGAATTAACGTATAAAGAAGACATTCCAAAACAAACCCATCATCTGAGCACGTCAAAAATTCTCCTTTCACGATTGGGTTCCAAACGCTGCACATAACCGTTGCCGTGTGACCTTTTGTGTTAGACAAATCAACAAGGTACTGATCACCTAAATTTTCCATAAATTTATTGAAAACCTGCAACTTACTTACCTCTTACAGTTTCCCCAAACCGCGTGCCACGACGATCAAGAAGAATTACTTGGGGGCTTCCATTGCAAACAATGATACTTTCACCGTTTGGTGAAAAAGAAAGGTGATGAATCACATTGCTAAAATTGCATGTTAAAAATACGCAAATTCAAAAACTATAACCGATACTCACTTTTCGCAAGGCTCCACAACTCGATCAGCTTTCAGGGAGCGATCCATCTTTTGAAACTCAAACATCGATAGCGAACAATCGTATCCACCAGCCAAAAATCGCGTTCCTGGTCCATCAAAAGCTATTGCGGTTACCTAAAAACGGTTGAGCCGTTATGCCTAACCCTAAGCTCAACAAACCGCCATCTTAGATCCATGTTCCAACGTAACTTCACTTGCAGCCGGAATAAGTTTAATTACAGGCAGCTAAATTTTTAGATAAACTGTAACAAGCTGGAGAAAAAGTGCGTACCCCTTCGCCGGCATAATCGGCAAAATCATCGCCATCACTCTCATCGTCTTTAGCTGATTGATCATTTTTGGGTGCAAAACCTGGTGGTAGAGAAGGCATGAAATCTAAATGAAGGAATTCAAGTGTATCTCGTTTGTAGTAATGTGTCGGGAATGAATTAACGCTTACCATCATCACTATCTGCTTCTTCTGCAGCTACAGGTCCAGCTCCATTTCCATCCGAATTTGTACCCTAAACAAAAGTCAAAATTTGAAATATGTTTCTTTATTACTCTTCCATCAGAATTCTCGTGCGCCTTTTCTCGTGAAGTTTGCGCTTTGCTTGTACCTTGGCGAGCAGAGTCTAAAAATCTACTGTGAATCTAATATTAAAAAAATCAAGTCGTAAATGACTGCATACGTACAAAAACGATTAGAAACAGTTTGAAAAAAACGTACGTTCAGAGCCTTTCTCTTCTTCTTTGGCAAGATGGCTTTCCGCGAACTGGGTTTGTGCCGTCTAAAATTAATATATACACATCAATAAGCATTCGAAGTATACTCTTTTTGTTTCTTCAAAAATTGCTGTGAGGTCGAAGGTCCTGGCTCGTTTGTCGGTATTGGCGCTACTCGCTGCTGTCGCATTTTCGTTACCCTTTGTTGAACTATTGGTTGTTGAAGCTTCTCCTTAAGATTTATACTAATTTGAAAATCGTAAAAAAAATTATTATACCTTCTTCCAGGTTTTCATGGGACGTTTTCGTCCGGCTCTCCATTTCAGATCACGCGACACCGATACTTTACCCAGTCTGGTTATTTCTTATGCTGAACACTAAAAAAAGAATTGGGTAAAGAGTAGATCACAAAATAAAAGCTTTGCACCGTCAAATGTCAAATTGGCAAGAAAATTGCATCATCAAATATTTTCTGGTTGTATAAATCCACCGTTTAACAAATCAATATTTGATTGTGGCTACAAAAATCCTTTTATTTTACACTGAAAATCCACCAGCCTGTTTTCGGAAAGCTATACAAGATCATTAAGTAAGTTTCGAACCCGTAGCGATAAAACAAGTTAAAAATCATAATTAAACCAGTATTGGATTGAAAGATTTCGGAAAAGTATAACAAAGAAAGCCAAAATACCTATGCTGATAACAACATAAAGTTACAGAATTGTAAAAGAAACTGCCGAAATAGGGCGGATATCCACCCGACGCAATGAAAAAGTAACATTTTAAAATTCTCATGGGTATGCTTCTATTCTCAGCAATCTGTTTTACTATTTCACAAGAATAAAAAAAAGCGATATGAAAGAATACCCTGATAACAAATATACAGATCTCCAACGTTGTCGAATTTCGAAATTAAGTCGAAGTGTCCATAGGTGACTGGAACTTGAGCGCCGTAGTTTGATAGAAGAGAAGATAGCATTCAGCCATGGAGACCGTGCTTGGCGGAACAGCATAGACCTAAAATTAAAAGTTTTAAAAATAAAATATTTCCTCTCACCGCGTCGTCATCGCATTTAAACCATTGTTGACCTCGTCGAACAAAACACGTGTAGTGCCCCGTGTCCATTGAACCAGAGTGTTGAACTACAGCATACAATTCGTACCTGCAAATGTACAAAGAATTATTTCCGACTAGTTTGATAACAGTTACCTATTGTATTGACGTTTTAGCGCTGAGCAGCTTCCTTTATTCGAGTCAAATTGTGAGGCATCTGTGTGATAGGCGGTCAAATATCGAGTCATATCGAGTTCCATTGGAAACCTTCAAGACAAGAATAAATAGCACTTAAAAATATCTAATACCGCACGATTGATGAAATCTTTTTTCGTAATTGTCCCTCGTGATGGAAACGTTTCAACTGGAAAATCGCCACAATGGGAAGCTTCCTAAATAATTGAACGTTTTTAAAGCAAAATCAGCTTATACTTGAACGTCAATTGCTTCGTCAATCCACGACCTCCACATTTTTCACAATTTGTACAAGGAATCGTTTCGTTTTGGACATATCTGATAATAATTTTAAAAGTATATGCAAAACAAAAGATACCTGTCCAAACATTTCTCAAGAGTTATGGCTTCAAGTTCGCCGTTTACAGGGATTGGCACATTTAGGGCAATGTCGAGGAACGGGTCCACACGGACGGAGACGTGGCTAAAATTGACCTTTTTTGACGATAACCTTTAGCGTTTTTTACCTGCAACTATTACATGTCAAATCCGATTGCATTTGTCCGGTGAAGATTTTGTCGATAACACATTTACAATCCGTAGAAAGTATTGGTGATTCAATTGCTAAAAGAAAATATTAATGCAATTTGCTAGCTACTCACGTTTTGAATGACTGTGCAATAGCTCAAGTAGCGTAATTAGAAACTCGTGTGCATCTTGTTGATGATAACTAAAACAAATTGTCAAAATTGTCATTGTCACAAAATTTAACGAACCCAGCAAGTTGTTTTGAAGAACTCCATAGAAAACCCAATAACTGCTTCAAAACTACGGGCTCTTCCCAGTTTGGTTGCAAAAGCTCCTAAACTTTTCATAGAGAAAACAATTTAATCAAAAGATTTACTTGAAATGCTTCGTTGACCATACACATTAAGCACACGGACTTGGAAGTATTTGGATGAGTATGTTGATCACTCAAAAAATAATCTCTCATCGCGGGCATATGTACTAGCGACTAAAGTTTTAACATATAATGAATGCAAATAATAATGTAACCTGAATAATCGAATTCATAAAGCACGTGTTACCCAGATTCACAATACCACGAAGGCCTAAAAATGCTTGAATTATTTTAACTTAAGCAACCAACTATGATCAGCAATATTTGATGAGGATGTTATTGCGATGGGCTCAATACAATGTGTATTCAAAGACCATTGTCCGCTACGTGGCAACCCCAAAAATCGCCTAAAAGTAAAGATATATTTAACGTATTCAAAAATTATTTACTGGTTCGAATCGTAGGCTTCGGTTCGTAGCCTTTCCATCTCCGCAGTATACACATAATCATGGCAATCGTTGCAGAAGATATGCCCATATTCGAGTGAAATAGCTAAAATCAATGATAAACTGTAATTTTAGCAATCAATCATTTAGACTGGCTTATTAATGTAATTATTTGTTTACTCTCAAACAAAAACTTACCAAAATCATGTCGTTTCCCAAGAGTGCTCGTTTTGGCCGCATGTTCGTTGATGTGATTCAAACATCGGCAAGTGTTGCATTGAGTGCAGAGAAGAAGCTCGTGCTGACGGGCCGTGCACCCACGGACATCGCATCGGATGAGAGCCGCCTAAAGTTTAAGTTTAAGAAAAGCATTCAACAAACACGACAGACCTTCATCTGGTAGAGCTTCAATTCGCTTGGGTAGATAATTTGGAGAAGCCGTCGGTAAATGTTGTAAAGATTTCCGGCTCCTAGAATTTGGAAACTATAAAAATGTTGGTGTAATCGTGGGTATATAAAGAATTTATTGTGTTGAATATTCAGTCAACAAAAAATAACGGTGAAAAATATTCAGGCAACGGAAAAAATAATTTGCAAAGCCTCATTTGAATTGAAAAATTGTTAAGCGTGTTAGGTTTTCTCTTTTATTCAAATTTTGGGATAGCTCCCGTTTTCTCGTAGCATAGAAATTGCTCACCTTTTTCCAACTGAACTTTCAGATGGCCACACCCGCTGGTCATTGCCTCATTGACGGTCTAGTCACCTATATTGGGTGTGAGTTGCGGTTGAGTATCCCACACAACCCTCCGGATGCACAACTTGAGAAGTAAAAATATTTTATGCATGTTCTACGTTGGGAAAGCGGTTCATGCATGGCATATCCAAAAGTTTATTATTAGATAACATTTTAATAACAGGTAACACACGACTTTATCACAAGGCAAGATTTAGCATGAAACAGAAACCACACACAACGAAAAACTGAGAGCATTCCTGAATGGGTATCAAAAGTAACAATAAGATCACTTGATTGCAATATTCCTAACAAATATCACAGACACTCTTTGAACGTGGGGGATACATGATGATGAACCATAAGATAAGACAAAATCGCAATTCAAACATCCCCTAAATGAGCTAATAAAAGGCAAAAACCCGAAAGACTCGCATAAAATGACTTGCTTTACAACAAAATTTTAAAATCTTAATATCCCTGTAAACCATTGTAAACTTTGGGTTTCGAGCTTTGTTGGAGAATCTCGGCAAACTTTGCTTTTTGCTCGGCCGTCATTTCTCCTTTCGGGAATTCGACATCAAAAGTGATGTATAACGTTCCCTAAACATTTGACAATCGTGCTTCAATCTTGCAATATAATACCTTCTGATTGTTGTCGGTAAGTGAAGGCATTCCTTCGTCCTTCTTGCGAATGCGAGCCCCAGGCCAAGTAATCTAAAAGAAAAATTTGCATATCAATATTATCATTTACCTTTTCGCGCTCGATTTTCACTTTGTGCCCATCGAGGTGAACAATGTCAAGTTCAAAACCATTAAGGGCATCTTGTAAAGAGATTGTGACGTTTGTGTAAAGATCCATTCCTTTCCGCTCAAATCTAGAAATAAGCTCAATAATGGATGCCAAGTCCTACAGAACAAACCTTGAGTGCTTTTGAATGTTTATTCTGAAACGGAGATCACCCGGCTCTCCTTCGATATGTGGTTCACCCTCCCCGACAAATACCTGTTCATGTCCATCATCCGCACCAATCTCGACTTCGACCTGAGATTCAGATATTTTGAAATTTCTGAAATGATGCAAACCTCGAGTGTTTTTGTTTCTTGAATCAATTTAACGTTCGGACACTGATCGCAAACTTTCACCTAAAATTCGAATATTTTAGTTTGATTTCATGCAAACTAACTTGATACATCTGGAAACGGCCCATTCCCATTTGTTCTGTTCGCATTTCATGGCGGCAATTGCATTCACGAGTACCTGAAATACTGTACTTATTTTTTGAAAAAGCTTTTAACCTGATGTTTGTTTGTAGACAGCTTTCTTTCGTTTAATCGTGACAAAGTGTCCGTTGTAGACCTCTTCCATCGAAACAAACAAATCCAACACAACATCAGCACCCTACATTTAAAAATTTTAATGAAATAAAAAGATTTAATACATTTTATCTATGACATTACATTTGAACGGATTTACCTTTGGTGTTTCTTGTTCTCCATCATGTCCACCACCACCGAAGAAATCACCAAAGAACGAAGAAAACGGATCATGTCCTCCATGTCCTCCACCGCCCATTTTTTGCACACCTTCTTCACCCGAGCGATCATAGACTTTTCGTTTGTCTTTGTCTGACAACACCTGCAAAATCTTGATTTTATCAAATAATATGTGAGAAATTCAACCTCATAAGCAGCAGCCAGATCCTGGAAGCGCTCGTGCGCTTCAGCGTCATCTGGGTGCCGATCTGGATGCCATTCCTTTGCTAATTTCCGATAGGCTTTCTTAATTTGATGTTCCGTTGCTCCTTTGGACACGTCCAAAATTTTGTAGAAGTCCCGTCCCGCATACACACATTGATCGGCTATCCAGGAAAGGCATAGAAGTGCCCAAAAGTGAAGATTCATTACCTAAATCGTCGTGATTATGTAAGTTATTGAATTTTCAACAGAAAAATGCATAGATTACAAGCGATTAGCTGTGTTTCCGAGAAAGGAGGAGCAAAACTAAGGACACGCAATAAATTGGGTCGTTTGAAATACAAGGTGCAGTAGTAAATAGAAAGCGAGCGTACACGTAAGCCGTCTGACCCAGTTTTAGAGAAGCCAGCTATCGCAAAAATGTCAAGTGTTTGCGGGTGAGTATGAAAAAACGCGAAATATGAAATCCTGAGAAGTCTAGGTAATAAGTGACCAAATTTAATTTTTAGAAGAGTATGCGATTGTTTCGTTGTGAATAATCACACTACTACCTGATCTACACTAGATATGTAGCTAGAAATGGATAACTTTGATTTTCTTGAACTTTTATAAACCAACCTCTTTATAAACTTTATAAACTTTTATAAAAGAAAGTACTGAACTCCACGCGAAAGCAAATGAAAAACGCTAAAATAGAGCAACAATTCAAAGATATTTAATTGAAGCATTGAATATCTTTTCGACAATTATATTGCTACTTAATTGTCAGCTTTCTTACAAAAAAGTCGATTTTTTGCCAATTTTCCATCACTTTTTTCTAAGCGCTGGTTAATGCTAAAAATATGTGTGATATCTCAAAAAATCACCCATCCTGTCTACTTTAATTTGATATCTAAGCGCGCAGAAATAAACGTACTAGTGTCGAGATATGAGCGTTTGTTTGAGAGTAAACGTAGGCTACACGACTCTCCTATAGGGGACCGTTCTATTAGTTTTTACGGGAACCTATGGTTTTCTCTAAATAAAGTGTTTATTGTTCAATTTCCCATCTTTTTAAGTCAATTTGGGTTCACTTTCGAGCAAATTCGAGAGTGAAAGCGTGTTTTTCATCAAAATCTATAAAAACCTCTACGAAGAAATCGGCTAAATCAATTTCTCTGAAAATTTGGCTATACACCTAACTTTTTGTGCTCTATCTTTTAACTATTGAGATCAAGATAGGTTTCCTTAGCTAAAGTGTCTAAACGGCATCATCGAGCCGCGGCCTTTTTTTGCTACCCGACTTTAGGCTCCCAAAAAACCCAAACATAAGACATTTTAAGCCCGTTTTAATGTTATTTTGCAGAAAATTTTGCCTTTTTTATGTTTAATGTGTCTAGATTTAGGGATGTCGGAAGATCAACGAGAAACGACTCCCACAACAGCTCTTATCATTTCCGAATGTGACCCTGATGCGGAGAAAGAACAAAAGGATCCATTTCCGGTTTGTTTTTCATTGCATTGCTTTTAAAATTTAAACTGGTATAAGGAATCCGTTCAAGCGTTTATAGATGCTTAGCATTTTAATTTCAAGCACATACAGTCGTCAAAAAAGTCTTGGCCGGCCAATGTTTTCTCATTTTTCTCCCATTAGATCGCATTCAAATAAATAGTTTTTTTTCTGTAGTATCTTGTGAGAGCTTTAAGATGATATTCTTAGATTTTTGATGTCGCTCTAAATAGAATTTTTCAAGCTACTTTTGCATAAAAGGGTAAGGTCCTTTTTCTCTGATTTTGTTCAAGGATTCAAAACTGCCAGTAGCCTTTTATTTTCACCAGAACAAAATCAATAAATAAGTAATCGACGATCCAAGAAGGCTATTTTAATTGAAACCGTTTTCAATGGGATTCCTTCGTTCTTGAAATACAGATTTTTAAAAACCATGCTCAAATAAGGCTTAACTCTAAAACTCTTAGTTCAAAGGATATCGAAAAGCTAAATGGTTCATTTTAATAAGCTTTGAAAATGCTACATAAAACTATAAAAATATGTGGTCAATATATTTGGATGTGATCAATCAATCAAGTGAACACTGACCGGTCAAGACTTTTATGTTCAACACCTATTTTATAATTGTTCATCTTCAGGAGATTTTTCAAAAAGATATTGACAAATATGAACGATTAATGGAGGCGCTTGCACACATACGAAAGGTTTTTTGGTTGTTTAAATCTTTAATTTTTTTCCCAGGAAGCTCTCCTCGCATATCACGCAAATAAAGGCCAAAAGAGAAGACTCAGACAACATCTAAGTCAAGCCAAGTAAGCTTTTATGGATTCTATTCTGTTACAAATAGAATTTTAGGCTTTTTATTAGCGAATATCGAAAAGAGCTTCAACCATCATCTATGCCCATAAAAGAGAAACGTGTAAGAAAAGAAGAAACGAAGGATTCCATGCTTCCCAAGGATGTTTTGTAAATTTATTCGGTGATTTTTTATTGAACTAGTAGCTGTTAGAGATTTCATATTTTTTTACTAACAATTTCTTTTGAATAAAGTGTACAATTGACGGGTTTAGGTCATTTAGTGTAATTGCAATGACGTGTTTTGTGGACCTGCAAATTTATTCAATCTAGAGCCTTCCATCATAGTTCGCAGTCATTTTCATCGAATCACCAAAGAACAAATTGACAATTAGATTAAAATACATATTCAATTAAATAAAAAAAAGTAATAATACAAAAAAAACCTTTGTACATGAAAGACTTGAAAGAGGTCGATAGATGGAATTTTCGCAAAAAGTTCTCTTCGGTTTCGAATTTCCATCTATCGAACTGTCAGTGGCAGTGACTTGAGCTTTGGAGATTGATTTTGAAGATTTTTTTTAACTTTAAATGTTCGTTTTTCAAAACCAATCGCCAGACGGTCAGTTTCAAATTCCAGAACTTTCGAATCAAAACTGACCGTCTCACTAGAATAACTAGACCATGAAAATCACCGAATTCACACCGAGTTCAACTAGAAGAAATGAAGAAGGAAAAAAAACGCGAAAACTCTCGAAAATCTGTGTTTTGTATAAATTTTCTTTTTCAAACATTATCGCCGGATATTGTGTAATTTGTGAAGAAATTTTCGGTTTCTTTGTGGCAAGGGAATCCGGAGAGAGGTCGTTTCTATACATAGGGGGCGACGCGCGAATAAAATGAGAAATTTTAAGGAGGAAACTTTTAGAAAAAACGAAATGATGTGGTTTTCGAAAAAAACTCTTAAAATTCCCCAATATCGGCACGCAGTAGACGGCAGTTTCTGTAGCAAATCACAAAAATCAAAACATTCAATGCATCGGGTTGGCGAAAAATAAGATAAAGCCAAAAAAAAAGGAAAAGAAAAACTAGCGATGACTAGGTGAAAGAAAAAAAAGAAACTAGACGATAACTAGGCTATCTCTGTACACAGTGGGACCAAGCCGAGGGATCTTTTGAAAGAGATCACACACGGTGGAGAACACACAACGGGCTAGCTAAAGAGACTTAAAGATTTGTTAAAAAGGGAAAAAAATTTTTTGAAACGGTGTTGATGAGATGGGTTTGGGTTGAAGCTGATAGGCTTTACCCTTTTTTTTTTTCAATCATCCATTCTGGTGTTTCTTCTTCTGACGAGGGCGCTGTACACATCACCGGGAGAGCTTCTCGGCGCTGCGTGCGGCCTCACTTTCTGCAAAACGTTTATGTTTTTTTATTTTTTTGGTTGCTTATGAATTGATCACCTTTTCTATGCGATCCGTGTCTACACTGAAACTGGGAATTTTCGTTGTCAACGCCAAATAGGTGTGCAACGGAAAAATGGCATATCTCGGTCAATTTCACATGATTTTTGCTTATCAATTGACGGAGAATTTCATTTTCTATCGATTGAAATTAAAAGGCAAAAAGATTAGAATGAAATTGAGCAAAATTGAGCAAAAATTGATCAAAATTGATCAAAATTGAGCAAAATTGATCAAAATTGAGCAAAAATTTGCAAAAATTGAGCAAAAATTGGCCAAAATTGATCAAATTTGAGACAAAATTGAGCAAAATTGATAAAAATTGAGCAAAAGTGGCCAAAAGTGAGCAAAATTGATCAAAATTGAGCAAAATTGGCCAAAATCAATTTATTCATGTAAATTTTACTCGAGTAATGACTTACTCGCAAAGAACACACTTATCCCTAGTCCCGAAAGACTCAGAAATTGGAAAAAGTATGTGTTTTTAATTCAAACTTTTAAATAAAATCCCGATTAATTTGTCTTTTTTTTTTTTTTTGATGATAACAACTATATGCGATCGGTCGTTTGTTCTTTGCGCTCCGGCGTAAGCTAAATCGAGCTGGCACACGAAATTCCTCATTTTTCTCGCAGCAGTAGTTTGGTATCGCGAGAAAAATTCGGATTTCTGTGTGCCAGATCGTTTTAGTTTACGTCGGAGCGCAAAGAACAAGCGACCGATCAACCTTCTACTTCTAAAAGAATCACAACTCACACATAGGTGAACGCCAAATTTTTTTGTGTGCCAGATCGTTTTAGTTTACGTCGGAGCGCAAAGAACAAGCGACCGATCAAATGTCTACTTCTAAAAGAATCACAACTCACACATAGGTGAACGCCAAATTTATTTCCTTTAGCGCTCCGATTTGATAAATGAAAACTTTGATGGAAAGGCTGTTGTTGAAACTAAATTTTTCTTCTTTATTAGAGAAAATTTCTTTTTTTTACCTATTTCTATGCTGGAATTTTGTGGAATTTTTCTGTATGTCCATTCTTTTTTTTTTTGTTTGTTTCCACTCCCCCGAGAGCCCGTCATTGAAGTGAGTCGCCGGAAATCGCGAAATCGAAAGCTAAAAAAGTGATTAGATTATTTTAAATAATGAAAACAATGAAAACATTGATTATACTACACAAGCTTAAAAGCTCAACAATTGCGCAATTGTTGAGCTTTTAAGCTTTGTTTATATAATAAATATTATAAAAAATAAAAATATTTCCATATTTCTCGTATAATTTATATTTTTAGTAACTAAATTAAAAAGAAATTTTTGTTTTTTTGGCAAAATCTTTGGCAAAACATTCTTAATAAATTAATAAGTTAACAAGTTTTATTCATCATATTTATTCCACCAATTGTTACCTCTATCATTGACAATGTTTGCGAACATTGTGTGAATCGGCTTTCGATTCAAAAATCAACAATGAAACAATAGCGAATTGCTCCGTTGGCAGACTCTTCTCGGGGCTCCCGACGGGGAGTGGATGTTTGAGGGTCCCTCGGCTCTTGAGGGTTGAAGTTACCTACAAGATTTGAAAGTTTTAAGCATTTATGTATTCTTAGCCTTCAATGAGAACAAAATGAGAACATTCAATGAGAACATAAAGATTTAAAGTAAGTAAAGGTAAGTAAAGAGAACAAAAACATATAAAAGTTTAAAGTAAGTAAAGGTAATTTACAATTCGAAACGCTTTTGATAGGCCAACTTGAGGAACAAGAACAAGAACAAGAACAAGAACAAGAACAAGAACAAGAACAAGAACAAGCCTGCACAGATGAACAGACAGACACTGCTCTTTTATATACAATAGTAGATGGTAATAACTTAAGGTATTACTTCTGAAACAGCCCTCCTGTATCCAATAGATTTTCTGAATGGTTTAAAAGTCCTAGAGAGTTGTTTTATAGTGGTTTAAATGATTTAAAAGTTCAGATGAGAAAAAATAGCCAAGGAAAAATCATTAAAGATTATTTGATTTAAAATGCCGATTGTTAGGATGATAATAGTAGGGTTTTACGAGAATTTCGGTTAAAGGAAGCATTGGGTGGAGTGCAAAAACGTGAGTGTAGGCTGCGGGTGGAAAAGAGAATGAAAGAGTTGTGCACACAGGACGATTCGATGTTTTTCCCCCCGATCTATTCCCCTTTTTGTGTGTATTTGTGTGCAATGGCATTCCCTCTTTTTCTTCTTTTCTTTTTTTTTTCAACAAGCCGGTCTCTTTTTAGTCTTTTTAGTCTTTTTAGCAGTCGAATGGATAAAAGTGCCGTTTCTCTTCCGCACCAAATGCAAAAGCATCTACGAAATATGCTTGAAACGAAGATTAGAGGAGATTTGCAATTCTAAAGCCAGATCTAGATTTAAAGAATCAATTATGGGATCAAGAGAGAGAGAAAAAAGGGGGAAATCTAGGCTACAAGACTCCAGCTACTACTTAGAATTAGAATTTTACACTAACGAACTTCTAGAAAACTAAAACTAGAACAAGAACAAGAACTAGAACAAGAACAAGAACTAGAACAAGAACTAGAACAAGAACAAGAACAAGAACAAGAACTAGAACAAGAACAAGGACTAGAACAAGAACTAGAACAAGAACTAGAACAAGAACTAGAACAAGAACTAGAACTAGAACAAGAACTAGAACGAGAACTAGAACCAGAACAAGGACTAGAACAAGAACTAGAACAAGAACTAGAACAAGAACAAGAACAAGAACAAGAACTAGAACAAGAACAAGGACTAGAACAAGAACTAGAACAAGAACTAGAACAAGAACTAGAACAAGAACTAGAACAAGAACTAGAACTAGAACAAGAACTAGAACTAGAACAAGAACTAGAACGAGAACTAGAACCAGAACAAGGACTAGAACAAGAACTAGAACAAGAACTAGAACAAGAACTAGAACAAGAACAAGAACTAGAACAAGAACAAGGACTAGAACAAGAACTAGAACTAGAATTAGAACTAGAATTTTACACCTAGTCAATGCAAAATTTCGTATAAAAAGATGTATGGTAGATTAAAGGGTAATTGAATGCAAAACTTTAAGTCCATAAAGGTCGTTCAAGATCGATTTACGACATAAATACTAGCTATAAAAGATCTATGCAAAACGAACAATAGATCGATCAAAGATAAACACTTTTCGATATAGAAATTGACCCGATTGCGCTGAATAGAATGTCTAACACAAAGAAAAAGTAAACAATGAGATAAACACAGAAAAACCTCAAAGGATCTAATGCATAAGATAGAAAATTGGCAATATGTAAGAATGGGGAGAAAGCTTCTCAATAATTGCTCTCTAAAACTACCGTAATTTGTACTCTATCGTAACGAGTGGTTTCTAGATTTCTAAATGAAAGCTTTGGCCGTTTAAATCAACATAGAATGGACCTTATGGACCAGACTGTATTAGGTTAAAAATAGGAGACGTTAGCCTTACTCTAGTTCAGTAATCGAGTATAGAAAAGGATATTTGTGTTGAATCTACAATCAACACCTATTTACAGGTGTTTGCTAGAGTGTGTCCTGTCTGTCTTTTTGTCTTGTCCTACAGTAATCTTGTCTTGCTTTCTGTCTTATCCTACAGTAGTCCTGTCTGTCTTTCTGTCTTGTCTTGTCCTACTGTAGTTGACATTCCGGTTAGCCGGTTTTTTTTTCTTCAT